CAATCCAAGTTCCATCATTCCTATGAGAAGTGAGTCATGCATCTATTGTTACGAGAAAACCAAATTTAGATTGGATGTTTGAGCCATTAGTGCAGCTCCTTCAAATCTGCTTAGCTATAAAACACTGAAAAATCTGAGGTAAGTTATTAGAAAATCAGCTACACTCAAAAAGCAGTAATTTGGGGTTGGAATAATTATTTTTATTTTATGGAAAAATGTCCCAAGTTATAGTGCAGTGTCACAAAATCAAGCCAATCTGAATGATTTTCTCCTTCACTCTCAAACCTTTGCCATACTGTTACTAACCAGCTTGCTCTGAAATGTGTAATCAGTGATGCATGGTGCTCCCAACTCTTTAGGGGAAAAAAGTTCTAGTGGAGTTTGTTGCTTAAAAACAATGAAGCAGTGAGCAGTGGGCAGATGGAAGCCACTGTGGTGCCATCAACCCAACCTGAGCACCAGGCTATCCACATCCAGCAGCCTCCCAGGATCAGTTACCTCTGTTGACTTATATACCCACATCCATGTTCTGCTGAGAGCATCCAGGCCCTGGGTGGTCCCAGACCACTCCCCTAGCTACTTTCTTCTGCATCTTGGCCTAGAGGGCTTGTGCCATCAACTTTATGTGTCATCCATATCCTAAGCCAGCAAGAGACTGGACCAAATCCTTTCTGTGCCAAAATGCCAGACCAGAGTGTCTTCAAAAGTGGATTGTGTGATCTTTCCTTCCCCCAAAGAGGGGACATTAAAGCTCAATGTGCTGTGCACATATATACCCACATATAATTATATTATATATCGTTTTTTTATTTTAAGATTTATTTATTTATTCATACAAGCACTGGGTACAGTCAGAAGCACGGGAGGGTGAGAGAATTCACCAGAGCCAGAGTGGTGAACAGAACAGGCAGACTGATGAAACACACTGCTGAGGGGAGCAGCGGACGTGGCAGGAGAGGTCTGCACACCATGTGGGACTCTAGCCTGCAGCCAGGGATCGAACCGGCGCTGCAGAGGCTGCGGGCAGCTTTGCAGCCCAGCGCTCAACCGCTGCGCCACCAGGTGAGGCCCTATATTGTTTTATTTTTATGAGCAAAATTACGTTTTTCTCTTCATCAGTCTTGGTGCATCAGTGGTGCAATTAAAACACTTAAACTAATCATCAATAGTATGAATAAAATATCAGCCACCTCCTAACATTAATTCATGCTTAAAAATTTTATTAAAGTTAATAGGAATTTTGCTTGCACAAGGACTGTAGGATGGGACATCTGTAGAGGAAACCAATATTTAAACAGGTAAATGAAAATCAAATGCTCCCACATGACAGGAATGAGCTGCATGCTGCATGGAATGATACAGAACAGTGGCCACAGCAGATCTACTATGTTACATTCAGACTTTCCACTTGTATTTGCCTAGATGCTCTTCTAGCAATGGTTTCAGAGTGAGTTGCCAGTGCTACATTAGCAAGGGAGTGGCTAGTGTTCAGAGGAGCCGTCCTCACTGCTCAAACTGGACTGATTTGTGTGGAATAATCCCTCCCCTCATTTTCTCCTCCCAAGTGGTCTTAAAAACAGTTTAGAAAATGACCATTCCCCCCATGACAGAAAGCGAACAAAGTGGAGATCAGGTATGTCACCTGCTTCACTAATACTGTTCGTTCGTGATAGATAGAGGTTTTTCAAAGCTGCGAGTATCCTTAAAATTGGATGGAGAAATGCAGACTGTGGTCTTTAGTCCTGCTGGCTCCACTCAACAAGAAGATAAGCAATTCTCTGATGTCAAACAGCATTTCTCAGAATTGAGCAACTCAAAATCTAAAATGTCCTTATCTACTCCTTTAACAAATCATGAGTGAGCATCTGTCATGTATGACTCAGTCTAGGGTCTGTTGGCTACTTGAGGATTTAACAAACTTAGGTTCCTAGTTTCACTGTCATCATTTAGTAGAAATTTTCTTTCCTTTTTGTCTCTTTTATCCTCTGGCAGGTCCTCTCCATGAGGTAGCATCCCATGGCTCTTGCCTTCATCTTCCTGAACTGAAAATTCCGTCATAGATTGCAGCAGAAGTCCTGAAGTTTCCTTTTCCTGGGTTGATCTGTAGCAACCACAGGTGTCAAAGGGATATAACTCTGTTTGGCCACGACTGTATCTTACACCTCATGCTGAGGGTGTGTGTGTGTGATGTGGGCAGCCCCTTGTAAATTTCATTAGAACGGAGAAGGAATAATTCTCCAAAGAAAATAAGAAAAAGAAGAGAATAATTGTGAGCAGGCAGCAGCTGTCCTCTAGAGGTAAAAGAAAATACTCTCCATTTTATAAATGAAAAAATTGATACTCAGAAAAGTTAGGTAGCTAGTTTAAGAAAAAGATAGTGATGAACTGTCGAGACAAAATTCTTAACCTATAGCTCCTAAGAAAAATCTTTCCAGTCATCTGCCACATCCCTGATCCCAAGATCAGTAAGGAGTGTTCTAGTCACCTTTGAAATCCATCCACTGCAAATAGGAAAAGCAAAGCAACTAACCAGATTTCATAAATACCCAAGATCTCTGAGTATATTTGGCTGTGAAGTTGTTTGTTCACTTGTGTGTAATGAATGGCCCTTTATCTGACAATGCTGAAACACCCATTGAAACGACAACATCTGTATTTATGTTTGCTGAAGACATTCTGTTATTAAGTTGAAAAATTGCTGTTTTGACAGATCCTTGGATGCTCTCAAATTTGTCTACCAAGGTAAAAAGTCTTTAGCAGAGCGCTTTAGTGCTGTAAGTGCAGATACTGAGAATTCAAAGAAGAAATTCTTTTGAGGGGATGATCTAAGAAGAATTACCACTCTGGATACCAATCATGAATTGGCTTCACAGAAAAGCCAGCTCAGCATTTATAGTGATAGAGATGCTTAGTATTACTCTTCATTGACTTTTCAAAAACCTCTGTTTGGAAAAACTAAATTAACGTGCAAAGCATTGTGTTCATGTGAAGATTTCTGATTTTTTAATTTCTATTATATTTTGTAAGATAGGTATACCTGTTAAGATTATTAGAATAAAATGATATTGATTAAAAAAAAACTTCGCTAAGTGGATTAAAGATAATGTTGAAGCTATTGAGGTTTGGATGGACCTTAGAAAGAGATACTGAGATTTGTCCAAATTCTTTCCACGCCTCTAAATTTTATAAGAAATCAGCCATGTTAGTTTTTAAAAAGTATTCAAATAAATAGAAATCATAGCCTAACAAACTTCATTCTGTCACTTGCTCATTCAGGTGGACAGAGCTGAGGACTTCTCAGTCCTGTGGGTATAAGCACCAAAGAGCAAATAGCAGGCACCAAGGCATCGGGTTACCATGATCACAGGGCACTGCGTGGGGATAGTCACCCAGAGAAGGGCAAAATGTCTCCCCCGGGTAGACATCAGATTGCAGAGCAGGACTGCAAAAAAATGGGAGGGAGGGATGTATAGGAGGTGGCTAGAACCCGGGACACGTGGGATATCCGATGAAGATGAGCTGGTCAGGCTCAAGGGTTGTGCGATCCTGGGATTTGGTGCAGGGTATGTGTTTCTAAAGCCAAGTGTATATTTGTATCTGTAATTCTGCACAGTTATATAATACATAATCATAATCATAATGTCACTTGTGCATCGCCTCATTTAAATCTCACAATTGCCCTGAGGGATGAGAGAGGTAGATCTGGGCAGGTAGCATCTTTCTCATCTGAAGATGTCAAGTGATTTGCCATAAACCTGGAAAGTAGTGATTGTAGATAAGTCCATGAAAACGTAGCCAGGCAGCACAGCTTAGGAATTAATTGCTTAGACCCTGAAATCAGACAGAAGGTGATAGGTCTTGTTTCTCCCCTAAGTGTCATGTCACCTTAGGAAAACGACTTCACTCTGAGTTCCAGTCATCTCAACTAAACTTGTAGATGTGATAAAACCACTTCTTTATAGGTGTCTGTGATGACAAAATAAGATAAAATCTATAATGCATTTAGCAGATTCGGTACAAAGTCAGTATCTGATAAACATTACCGGCTTTTATTATTGTTTCCAGGCAGCTTACCAAGATACAAGGAAAGACGGGGAGCCAGTTACCAGAAATGCTGTTCAAGTTTTAGGGTGTGTGTTTTGGAACCCAGGGGAAACTTGTTATAGGGCAGCCCCGATATTGAACGGGTTCCTGGCTGTGGGTCCTCACCTGCGCACTTAGAAGGGACTTATGAATACTCCACTGCAGGCACACACAAAAGGTTAATAAAAGGTTTATTTACAAGGGAAAGGGAATTAAGGAAAATGTACAACTCAGGAAGAAAATAGGGAAATAAAGTCTTTAATGCATCCTACCCGATCCGCCAACCTGGAAACCTAAAAAGTACTCTCAGAGCTGTCCTGATGCTGCGAGCTGGCGGAGAGCCAAAATGGGGGAACCCCTCCAAAGGCCACGTGTCTGTGTCTGGTCTTATACCAACCTGGCTGCTGAACCCCACCCTCTGGTCCCAGCCACCTTCCCTTGGGTGGTGATGGGATTTGGAGTTCCCAGTGTCTTTGGCTTTGGCCTGGGGTGGGGGTGGAGTCCACAAAGCCTGTATGGAATTAGATTTAGGACAGCCTTTTCCCCCCTAACAAACTTAGTTATCAGAATTTGGACAAAATATTAGATCAGAATACTATGTCTCTGCTGCTTATTTACACAACACCCCTTCCTTCCTCTTTTAGCAACAGCACCCTAGCTTTTTTGGTTAACCACTCTTTCCAAAGTCTGATTGCTGAGCTCCAGTGGGTTTGTATTCTCGAGCCCAAGAGATAGAACTAAAGTCAGCGACAAACTGACTCCTTTGATGGGGTTAGCCTCGGGCAATTGCACTGAACAAAGCTAACCAAATTAGAGAGAATCCCGGGACTTTTGTGTGCTATTGTAACTGGGTGGTCTCCAAGAAAAAGGGAGGTTCTAGGTTCTCTGCCCCACCCAAGGAAGGGGGAGAGCTGAGCTGGGAGAAGGAGAGGCTGGAGAGGAGACTGAGGAAGGACTCAGGATGGAGAGGCAGGAGACTTAGAGGAGGTACCTGGAGCAGAGAGACACGTGAAGAAGCCGCACTTACTTCTCGGCCTTGGCTTGTACCAGAGACTTGGGGATATAGAAGACACTTGAAACAGTGTTGAAACAGACATGGGTGAGAGACCCTTGGGGAGGTTAGCAATGGCAGCGTTTATTTCGATTTTAGTTTTGCTTTTTTCCTTCTGGACTTGTCTGGCCTATTTTACCCCATTCCTGGGTCCCCACCAGGAGCTGCCTTAGACTTGTGGCAGACTTTCAGCCCTCTGTGGCCCTGATTTGGGCCAACCCTGTCTGGCTGGGCATTTACCCAGAGGGGCTGGTTAACTTTGGGTGTTTCTTGTGAAAGTTATTTTATCTATTCTTTTCCTGTTCTTCTTTTTATTGCAAACTATATTCATTAAAGTTCCTTTCCACTAAAGGTCTTACGCACTAGAATATGTTTTGTCTTGATGATGCGATGGCAGAACCTATTTAAAGAGGGCAGGTTTGGGGGTTTTGGGGTGCCCCCTCACCCTGCCCAGTAACACTGCTGGTAAAGGAGGCACTCTCCTTCCACTGGAGCTGAGTAGGAGGACATAAGCCTGGGGGCTATTTTGCTGCCCTGTAGGGGTGAAGACAACCTGGAAGAGGGCAGAGCTAATAGGGGAAGGAGACTAAGGCCTGTGATGTGGCTTGAGGTAGCACGGCCAACCGTCTCTGCTCCTTTCATGCTTTCTTGAGGCAGATTCAAAGTGCTAGGATGCCTTGCTGCTCCAGACCTTGAGACAGGATCCCTAGAAAATAGCTTAAGGTGGGTTGTGCTGTTACATCTCAGCAACTGTTCAGAGGATTTTCATAAAGCTCCATCCCTTCCTCTTCCTAAGTCCCCTTTTCATATCTCAGTTCAGAACAGTTAAATATTTCATCTGAAGTCCAGCCCTGTGTTCACCACACACGAGTGTCATGTAGATCAAGGAGTCAGCGGATTGAAAAACCAAGATCTGGGCTGAGAGTGAGGAGGTCTGAGTTCTCCTTGCAACCCTGCTGGAGAGGCTGGGGCAGCTCAGACTTCTTTTCCCAGAGAAAAACTGGGGTGCTGTCATTGGTTTACTCCATTGACCCTTGGCAGGAAATACTGGTGAGACAGTGTGTTCAAAGCACAAAAAGTACTTGGGAAAAGTCGCCATGTTACTTACATGGTCAAGATTATATCCCAATGGATGCAAATACATAAGCAACTGTGTTATTATGGACTCAGTAGCTAGCGCAGGGCTGCCGCTGGCTGTGTTATGAGGACCCTTTTTTGTGCTCTGGAGCTCTTTTTCCATTGAGTATGATCACCTGGTGTTCTGTAGTCGGTGTTTTCTTTGTTTCATTGATTGCTTATTAATTCATTAATTCACTACGAGTTCCTGAGCGTTTTATTCATTATTCATCACTAGAGGTACCCAAAGTAGGTCAAGCGTGGTTGGACATTCATTATTTGATTTAATCAACAAATATTTATGAGCATCAAGTATGTGTCAAGCAATGGAGATATAAAGATGAATTAACATAGTCACTACCTTCTGGAAGCTTGCTACTCAAATTTGGTCTGGAAATTAGAGGCACTGACATTCCTTATAGTGTGTTTAAAATACAGAATTTTAGGAACTGTCTCAGACTTGCTGACTCAGAAATTGTGTATTAACAAAATCCTCAGGCAATGTGTATGCATAGGAAGGTATGAAAGGCAGAGCATTAGGAATGCATATTTCACAGTGTAGTTAGTGGGAAAAGAATGAACTGGTAGCATAGAAGGTTGCATGCTCCTGGGATTCAACTCCTGCCTCTGATCCTTGGTAAGGAACCGAAGCTAGTCACTTACCTATGTTGTGACTCAATATAGTATCTTCAAAAGGAAGATAATAATGTCTGTCTGTCTTTCATTCTGAGTGCTATTGTGAAGATCACACAAGAAAATAGTTGCAGTGGTGTTAGTGCTATTCAAAAGCAAGGCAATGCCATTGACTCCATTGCCCAGGAGCTGGGATTTGATTCTGGTTTAACAATCTCCTGCTTTATGATTTTTGTTAAGACATTCTTATCTCCTGGATTCAGAGATGTGAATAATAGGTTTATAGAAGTGCCAGCATGCAGTGAGGTTCTAGTGCTTTTTAGCTAGACATATACAGAAGTTGTTGTAGTGGACATTTTAGGTATCCAACTAAGCTCAATCATACTTAGTGAGGGTTTGACCATTGGGAAAACATATTAAGTGTGACAGGCATGATTCTCCCTCTTAAGGAGTGCTTATTGTAAGATGATGATGTAATATATAAAATAATTATAGTTCATGGTACAATAATCTAGGAACTCCAGGAAATGTTCAGACAATAGGTGGAGACAGGTAGATTTGTAAAACAAGAGATCTGTAATGTAAGAACATGACAGATTACTAAGAAACTACATTTTTATTACCCACTCCTTTAGCACACTCTTAAGGCAAATTGGTCATGAGCCCACAGGTGCTGTAGAAAACGATTATTACATCACTAGGAGTGGTGACCCAGTGCCCGGTGGGATGACAGCTTGTTTTATTAGCCATCACAGTAAAGAACTCAGATACACATCACTTAGAAGCAGGAACTCTTGTCTCCTATGGTATATGAAATTTCTCTAAGAAAGAGCTATTCATACTACTTGTCTATAGTGAAAAAAATTACTAGATGAAATTAGCTAAGTATTTATTAATTTTTTATTATTTTTATTATTTTTTTTCTAACCCCAAGCTAAGTATTTAAATGGGAAAATCAATGCCTAAGTTCAACTGACCAGACCCTTTGCTGAGCCTCTGCTTCGATATGTCTCCTATCTTGTCCCTCTAAATTGTTACTCATACTCCATAACACAATATTGGAGCACCAAAGGAGTATACTTGGTGCAGTAGCAATGACCTGGTGGTGATAGAGAGTGGAAAATCAATCTAGAGGAATTAAGTTTTATTAGTGAACACTTAAGCAGTGGGGTAATCACTAGAGTGAATTCCCCCATCACAGCCTTAAATCCCCTGCCTTCCTATTACATGGCGTTTTGTTTTAAAACGTGAATTAATTGGCTGTTTACTGAGTCACAGTCTTGAGATTCCTACTTCTCATTCATCAATTCTCAGCTACATGAGTTTGAGATTGGAGGTTACTGGAGGCGGTGGGGGGGTGTACCTGGAGGGGAGGAGGGGTGTAACAGAAAGCCATCCTTTTCTGGGTTGTGTTTCCCTGTCCATGGACTATTCCACAGCTGTGTGAAAATGACCAAACTAGTCCTGCAGAAAGACAGAGCAGCCTCAGAAATGAAAATGAGGGGATCTGACTTGTATTTTAGGCTCTGTAAAATCATCACCTCCTTTCTTCTCTGGGTGGCAAGCCAGCAAGAGGAACTAGTTACTGTATTGATAGCTACCTGTGATGTTGTCATTAACTGAAAGCTGTCTGCCAATTATCATTCCCCCTACCATTGGACTCTCTACTCCAATCAGTCTGTTCCAATTTTATTTGTTGCTTTTGGGGGGCTACTTCTTTCTTGTGTACCCTGAGTCCCCTTGGTTACACCCTGAACCCCTTTGCTAGGTTTGCAATTTTTATAGAATCAGTAAATATTCACTCTTCAATGACTCTTTCCTGATTGTAATTTTATTTCACTGCCCACATGGGCATTGAGATCCTGCCATATATCAGGCAAGTGACATACAAGTCCTTTCTCTCTGTGAGATGCCTTTTGGATGAGGGAGGCAGATGCCAACCAAATAAATAAAATAGATTCACTTAGATTAGCAATAAGTGGAAAAAAGATAGTTCAATAGTTACTTAACTGAAAAGGAGGACTGAACATTGGGAGCCATTTACTACAAAGTGGCTTGGTAAATGCTTGCTGAAGGGCAGAGAGAGCCAAGAACGACCTAAGTGGTGAGAGAGGACCAGGCTTCCTGAAATCTGGGGAGGATCCTTCCAGAGGATCTGCTGGTTCAAAGCCATTGGTAGCTTCAGATTTTTTTTTTTTAAGCTGGCAAAAATAATTTATTTATAATTTCTAAATTCCTTTTCTACATAAAGACAAATTTTTACAGTCATAAGAAGATAAGGTAAATAAAAGTATAAAGCAGAGACAAAAATCAAATTTTAATTTTTAAATATCCATACCAATATTGGCTCTCAGCCATCTGTTAGATGCATAGAGGAGAGAGCTATAACTTGCAATTTGTTGGAGATTTTTTGCTTCATTTAATTAATATTGTATTACAGTGACATTGGTTTACATCTTTTTACTTCGTTGTTTGTATTTTAATGGTATAGGACATGCTCACCCTTTTCAGTATTATTACCACAGAATACCCATCTCCAAAGCACCAGGGTGCTTGGCAGGAGGCCGATAGGAAGGGAGATTTCTGGACTGACTTACTTATCTGGAAGCTGCATTTGCAAAGCAAATTCACTTTTTTTGCTTATATTGTATGTTGAATGTGTGCTTTTTTAAAAGAAAGATTTATTTATTTATGCATATAAGAGCTGGGGTGTAGCCCAGGGGTTGGGGGTGGGGGGCAGTCGGTGTAAGGATTCACCAGAGCAGAACAGGCAGATTGACTGAAATGCATTCCTGAGGGGAGCAGTAGGAGAGACAGGAAAGGTCTGCTGTGCCATGTGGGTCAGCTCCCTGGCAGGGGATTGAAATCATGCTGCAGTGGCTGCAGATTGCTTCATAGTGCAGACACTTAAATCCCTGTGCCACCAGGCAGGCCCCCAAGATCCTATACTTCTAGAATAGAAACAACGTTGAAAACAATATTACATCAATTTAAAAAAATTTTTTTAAAGATTTATTTATTTATACAAGAACCGGGTACAGGCCAGATATGCGGGAAGGTGAGAGGATTCACCAGAGACAGAGTGGGGAACAGAACAGGCAGATGGACTGAAACACACTGCTGAGGGGAGCAGCAGGCAAGACAGGAGAGGTCTGCTGTGCCCTGTGGGATTCTCACCAGGTGGCAGGGATCGAACCCACACTGCAGAGACTGTGGACAGCTTCACAGCACTGTGCTCAACCACCTGCGCCACCAGGGTGGCCCCTTAAAATTTTTTTAAAAAAAAAACTTTGCCTGTTTTATCTGAAACTCTCTGCTGAATTCTTTCTCCTAGAAGTTCTCCATACCCACATGTGTTGGGGGTCTGTAACACCATGACATAGTGTTATCTATGATCTTAATATTTTAGAATCCTACTACTTCTCCTTTTTACTTTATGGCTTTTAAGTTCTTTACATTTAACGTTGTGGCATTCTAGAAATGCTTAAGACTCAAAATATAATGAAGAATAATTTGCAGCTAATTTTTTTTTCTTCTTAGTAGGGACTCTGAAGAATTTCTCGGTCATGTGAAGCATAAAGGTTCTTCTGAACATCACTGTAAGTGCAAGAGCACTTATAACAATAGCAATGTGAGCAGTGTTTTCTGTGTGCCAGACTCTCTTCTGAACACTTATAATGACTCACTCACGCTAGCGGCAACGCTTCACAGAGGGTACTACTTTTCATCCCCCAATTTATGAATGAAGAAATAGAGACCCTGATGCTAAATTCACACACTTGTAAGTAGGTGGATAGTTTGGGAACTCTGAATATGTAACATCACCTCAATAAGAGCTTCAATCATGGAGTCACATCCCAGAGGATAGGATTTATTCAACACTAAGCTCATTTCTGCAGAATGAGCCAACAATTCCACTGCTGGGGAGAGTATGTCTTATTGTTAGCATGTGCTGTGAAGTTACCAGGCGGTTTTCAACTTGCAGTTATCAGTGAAATAGCATATTGAATGAATGCCTCAAATGTAGCTTATATTGCAATGCATTGTATGCCTTAGGTACAAAAGTCAGGAAAGATGGCTCTAAATGATGTCACAGGATTAAGAATGGCGCCTTGTTTCAAATGCAGGGATGAAGGCCAACTGTCTTCATCTTAGCAGAAGCATGTCAAGGACCAAGATGACACAATCTTCATTGAATACTAAAAATCTCAGCAATAATGGTCCTTTAAGATGAAACGATTGGCGTCTAAGATAAAATTTCAAGTAAATGTGGATGGCAGGGTCTGTCTCTCCCTTTCCCTTTTGATTACCATGAACATGACACGAATTACTTCCTAGAGTGCACCAAAATCATATAATTGTTCTTATCCTAACTTCTTAAAAACTTTTAGCCCTAGCAAATTTAACTCAGAAACAGTCTATGTTATTTTTTTTTAGTCAGATATTGTACCTTCTCCCTCTCTCTTAAAAAAATAAAAATCTTGCAAAACAACAGTTGCTCACAAATAAAATAAAAGCAACTACCCATCTGTCATCACTGATCTTATAAAACTGTGAGTTGTCTTTCTGATTTCTCTTCAACTCTTGACATACAACTCAAAACACCTTTTCTCAGACAGGTTATGTGGTTATTTCAAATACCATCTAAAAACTCTACAAAGAAATTTGATTAAATTGGAAGCACAGATGACTGATATTCTTAAAATAATTGCTGCCTTAGTGATTCAACATGTGAGCCCTGCAGTTTATTACACTTTAAAGTGAACTAATCTAAATTAAAATCTTCTAAGATCAATAGCTTATTTTTTTTAAAAATACAGAGCATTCTTAATGTATTATCAGGCCAGATAAGTCATATTTTCAGAACTTAAAAGTTTATTGCAGTCCCAAACTAATGTAGATAGAGGAATATTTTACAGCAAACCCCTATTAATTTTTGCACAAATATAATAAGAAAAGATCAGCCACGCCAAGTGTGAATGTCTCCAAGTCTATCTAGTTCCTTCTTTCAGCATAACTCTTCATTTGAAAGATAATATTTTCTTTCGATGTGTGGAACAACATATCAACCTGGGCTTTTATTACTAAAACAACTTGAGTCATTCACTTTTTTTTTTTTTTTTAAATAGAAGCATGTTTTTATTTATTTATTTATTTGTTTGTTTGTTTTGTTTATACATGCACTGGGTACAATCAGAAGCGCGGGAGGGTGAGAGAATTCACCAGAACCAGAGCAGGGAGCAGAGCAGGCAGAAGGACCGAAGTACACTGCTGAGGGGAGCAGCGGGCGGCAGGAGAGGTCTGCGCGCCATGTGGGACCCTCCTCCGGTGGCCGGGGAGCAGCCGGGGAGCAGCCGGGGATCGAACCGGCGCCGCAGAGGCCGCGGGCAGCTTCGCAACCCAGTGCTCAACCGCTGCGCCACCGGGGAGGCCCCGAGTCATTCACTTTTGCATTGCTCTTAGGTGATGGCAAAGTTTTGGTAAATTTATAGGAAAAATGGTCTAACTGAGTGAAAGTTGAAATTCAATCAAGGACATGGTATTGTTAATTAGGAAAATGCCTCTGGGCCTTGGAGACAGGCTTAAGATCCACGAGGAAGCAAAATCAATAGAAATCAAAGATGGCAGCGCCCCTTCGTTTGGCTTCCTTGTAGAGAAACATAGAGCGCCTATTCTGAAAGGGTCCAATCCATCTTTTGATTATGTTCACCAGCAAGAGGGTTTGGGAAATATTCCAGGTGCCTCTGCTTATAGGCAAAGAAAAGATTGGATATGGTGCTGGAAAATGGTAAAGTTAACTGTTGAGGGTATTTTCTAAACACCAATCTCAGAGGTCCACTATGTTCACAAAGAACTTTACAACCTTTGTCTCTAACACTTTTATTTTTCCACTTTGTGTCAGGGAAACATTTGAGACCAGCTCCGTGCTAGAATTCTTTGTGAGTCAGTGCATATTGCCTCTTTTTTATCTTTATAATTTAGATTGAACTTGCCAACATGAAAGACAAGGAGATTCCTGGCCAATGCCAGAGTTCTGCCTGCTGAAGTATCCTTCACCATTTATGATACTCACTTTTGTCTAAGAGGAGGCTCAGAGGAATGTGAGAAGAATGCATTTTCTTAGGAATTATTTTACCATCTTACCCTGACCACCCCCTCGGGGGTTCTTCCTCTTCGTGCTGCTACCCTCTTCACTCCTTTATCACATCACCTGGTCAGAAGTGTGATTATTAAGATCCACTCTGCATGGCAAATATCACATAACATCTCGTCTATAAATGATCTCAGGAGGCCTGGAGTTGTGGAAGGTCACAAAAGCTAGATGTTGGGAAGACATTGCTATGGTAATATAAATGTAAAGTCTTCTTATGGTGTAATCTATGGTATATGGGATTTGAATGAAATGGAAGCCAGGATATAAAAGTAATCATTTACATTTGCTGCTGCTTTATTGGGTATTTACATTCAAGCTAATTATTTTCTAGTAACTAAGACTTAAAAGCAGTGATAAAGTGGCTTTTGTATGCCTATAGACTTGCTCTACTTGGCTTATAGTAGGATCCTTTGTGCATTAAAAGACTTATTAACAGCTGTAAAGGGGTTTTGATAATAGGCAGCATATCTTGTGGAGAGTTAGTCAATATCAAAGCACCGTTTAACAACCTTATTTAATAATCACAATACTCCAATAAATTAGGTATTACTATATCAGAGGCAGTTTATAGATAATGAAACATGAAACTACTCACCAAACCCTTTACCTAAACTGATCAGACCACCTGCCTCTCTACTAAAAGGAAAGACTGGGATTCAAATCTGGGTTTTTTTCTCCTACGTCTTGTGCTTTTTTTTAGCCACTGCATAAAGCCTCTCCTTGTCTGAGCTGATCACAGCCCCAATAATAGCGTTTGCCATTTTGAAGGACTCTTTGTCTGAAGATCCACATCCATGAGGGGCCCAGAGGAAGCTATAGTTGAGGTACTAGGAGTTGGTAGGTTAACCCCATACTTGAGCTCTGGGTATTCCACTGAAGACCTCTGAGCTGCCTAGTCCCTCACAGAAGCCTAAGTCTCTTTTCTGACAATTGAAGGACCACAGAGCATTCCATTGCCCTTGTTGATGGCTGGTCTTTGCCTTTATTCCATGGAGTACCTCGGTCTCCATTCCTCTCCATGGGCCTCTGTTCCTCTGTGTGGAAATCTTTGACTCAGTTGTTCTCCAAATCATGGCTGGGCTTGTCAGGGTTTTTGACACTACCAGACATTGCTCTGTGTCATTAGAATATACACTTTATAGGAGAGGAGCGTATTGGACTTGGCCACCAAAGCAGCATAAGCATTGAGTACATTGCTTGGCATAGATTAGGTGTGCCAAGAAAATGTTGAGTGAATTAACAGTAAGTTTCTCCATTTTCCATATCACCTTAGAAGGCATCTCTCAGGTCGGATCCCACCTCCTCCACCTTCACTATTTTTCCTTGCCACTGGAAAACTACCACCTTCTCTTGGCCTAAGGCCTGATATGTGATAATAGATAGAAGATGCCAATATTTAAACCTACCTGTTTACTGAGATGACAAAGAGGCTAAAGGTCTACTTTTTACCAAATACCTCCATGTTTTAAAAATATGTGCTACCTGATTTTATGCAACACATAAACCAACACCAGAATGAGACTAATGATGACATTTACATAAATAGGCTATCAATATTAAAATAACACGATGGAAGTTTCAAATGTAACATTAATTAGAAACATGAATTAATTTTATTATCAGCCATTAATACCCTGAGGACATCGTCATACTTCTCAAAATACTGAAGTGCAAGTTTGATATTTTTTCTGTGCAGAGTAAAATGAAAATTTCATAACATAAAGCATGATTTTTTTAATTAGACTTTATTTAAAACAATTATCTATTTCACTGTCATTTATTAAAAGATTTTAAAAAGTATAATTTACCTACCACAAAATTCATTTACTTTTATTTAGTCCACAGTTCAATAATTTTTTTGTAAAAATGTGCAACTTTGTGGAACATCACCATATTCAATTTTTAAAATATAACATGTCATTCTTAATGTACTTAATGTACAAGCTGCTTATTTTAATTTCTCAGTTCACTTTCAGATGTGGTGATATAAACCACAGAAAGACATGGAAGGTATTGAAAACTACTGATGAAGGAATTGATTAAAAACCTGCATTGGGTATTGGCTGGTATAACTGATATGTTGACTAACTGTAAGGTAACAACCTCCTCTTACCTTTTTTTGCACATAAGAGCAATGCCTGCATAATTTCAACTTGACAGATTCTTGATATACAATGTGCAGCATAGAGACAAATATGGGGAGGGAGAGTTGTGGATGAACAGAAAGACCAAGCAAGCCCTATGAACAAACTCTTCAAGGTAGTGCCATTTCCAGTTTTCTAGTCTCAGAATATTACCCGCCTTATCAAGGGGTAGAATCTGTGTTAAGTGTTCGTTCTCCTAGTGGCTAGATTTAATCAAAGAGGATGTCATTTTTTGCAGAATACTGTATGAGTCAGAAAAATTAGGTTATGCTGCAAAACAAGCAAGTCCCAGATCTCAGATGCCTACAAAACTAAAGGTTTGTTTCCCCTGAAAGCAACTCATGTGATTTTTACCCTTGATACATTGGGAATTAGTATTATGATCACACCCAATTTTAAAAGAACAGCGAGGTCTCACCCTGTGTCCAGAAAGAAAGAATTAAAGTCAGTGAATGGTAGTAAAGCTTCCTGCCACATAGTATAGCACTATTTGATGAAACAAGGGGCAAGAGAAAGCTCAAGATACCAAAAGTCTTGCATCAGAATTCTTTTTGTGAAAAATATTCTTCTCCTTTGGGAGAATCCCTTGATAAACGTCTTAATGTGAGGGCTGAGATCAAACAAGCAGACCCTAGCAGATTACCCCTGAATTACTCCAAGTGTGATAATTTAAGGATTTGCTGTGGTTTCAAGAGGAAGAAGAGAAAATAGCAAAACAAGAATGAAGATGTGGAAGTCATCAAGATGGAGAGTTTGAGACAAAGTGAAAGAAGACCAGTGATAACCTTAAATTTATTAGCAAATGACTGAGGTGTCTTTTCAGAACAGAGATACCTATGGTCCCATTTTTCTCACATAATTGCAATTTAACTTCCTCCTCCATTTTTGCCTTCAATTCTCAGTTAATCTGCTATATTTTTTTCGCACAGGTTTCTTCTGTGAATAAATGAATGGAGAGCTAATTATCTGGTTTAATACATTGCTAAATGAAGATACTATCACAGCCTGGCGGTAGACACCTTCATACTCCAGAACCAAGAAAGATGTCATAATACAGGAAGACTTCAGATTGCCATAGGTCATAGAATTTAGTATTGAAGTCTAATATCTCAAGGAGTGAGGACATCCCAGTTGGTTATATTAGCATATATTGAAGATTATATTAGCATAATATCCAGGTCTATTTGCATTTATCAAGTTGAAAAAAGTTCTTTGTTGCATTTATGTGATTCTTCCACATTTCCCCTAATTTGCAATGTGTCTTTGTCTTTTATGTTTTGGTTCTGTTCTAAATTTTCCCTTTCTCTTATATTTTTTCATCATTTTTGTCTCCATGTCACATGACAAGACCACCAACTCACGGTGCTAATTTGGTCAATGTAAAAACCAGTGTATGATACCAATTTCATCCTGACTTCTGAATCCTTAGATAACACATTTTAGGAATTTATTTTCAGTTCAGGGGGAAAAAAAAGCACCAGATATCATTGTTCATGGAGACATGGATGGGAAATTGGGGTCTATGTGGAGAGTAAGGGACCTCTATCAGCCATGGCTTGAGGCTTGGAACATCAGTGTGGCGATACTTGGGAATGCAAAGCTCCCTGCTCCTAATTTTGCCAGGTGGTTGGACCCTATTCTAATTTCAGTTGCAATTATAAAGATGATAAAATGGAAAAATAAATATTTGTGCAATGACTGGGAAAAGTCAATTAGTTTTGCACCAATGAGAAATAACGCAGAACTCCTCATGTCTTATAATAAATTGGCGTTCTCCACATATATTTTGAAATGCATATTTACTGTCCAAATGTACTTTGAAAATTAAATAGCACTAGAATAAAGTATACTCTGCAAGTGTTAGTAAAGGAAATGTGCAATAAAGTTTCTGTATTTTAGGGAGAAAAAATAATTAAAATAGGATCTAGATGTTCAATAATTTATCAAAGATAAATGTCAGAGGTAGCTTTTTTCTTTCCATAATCTATCAGCTTGTATGATCTTTTTTTCTCTAGCTGTCCCTGGCCATTTCAAGAATGCATAGATATGGCTAATATCAGTCATTTAGTAGTGCAATTAAAGCTTAACATGCCAAGTCCAATTTTTTTAAGGAAGAAAAGTTCAGTACATTATAACTTTTTCTCCATGTTAGCTGACTTGACAACTAGATCTGAAAGTACTTTGCCATATTTTTTCATGTTTGTTCAGGCAATCACCTATTTGATTAAAGGCTGGTTTTACAGATGAAGTATTAATATGAACATCCTTTGTTTATTGAGAAATTGTCATTAGCCTTATATGTGAAATCCTTTTACATAGATTATTGAGATGCTTTTCTATAAATTATTGCATTTGATATTTTTAACATTCCCATGAGGTAAATCCAATTATCCCCATTTTGTAAATAGGAAAACATATTCAGAAATGTTATGATAACTTACCTGTAAGTAGAGGGCTACCCAAGTCTGCAGAAATGCAGATGGTTTATTGTGAATCTTACCAGTATGTGCCATCCGTTCATGTATCCATCTGCCTAGTCAATCATCCATTCCTTCTTTCATGATTTCTAAAAATTGCAAAAATTTATTCATGATATATTAGATATTTCACACTAAGAACTGGACATACAGGAGTGTGGACAGCAAAACCCCCTACCCTCCAAGAGCTTCTATTCTCAGAAACAGATGCTATCACAAAGAAAGAGCTAAAAAGGGTAGCACAAATAGTGGTAAGGTCTCTGAAAGGAATGAAGGATGCAATGTGCAAGGAGAGAAACTACAGCTAGGAGCATGCGACTCTTTGCAGGGAGAGCTGAGGAGGGCTCTCTGAGGAAGCTGTGCCTGAGCCAAGACTCTCAGGATGAGAAGGTGTCATCCCTGTGCACAGTCAGAGGAGAAGGAGTGTTCCAGGAAGAGGAGGCAGTGTGTAGGTGTCTTAGAGGACCATGTCCAAGTACTGGATGCTTGGTATTTTGAGTGCCAATTTTAACCTCCAGGTAACTCATTTAGTGGGAACAATGTACCATCAAGAGAGACCACCTGGTGTATGCTGTTTTCCTCCATCCCCTCCCCTCCCCACACCCTTACTTTCTTTTTATATTTCATTACGACCACTATTACATCCTCAGGTGTTCATTTTAGATGAATATCTCTATTTATTGTACGAACCACCTTTATTTTTGAAACCTGGGAGAAAGAAGCCTCATGTGGAAATTTTAGGGGAAAATGATGGGCAAGTCAAACTTCCATAATATTTTCACATTACTATTCACATGACTTAATGTCTTAGTCTTCTTATTTCCTCTCACCTGCTGAATAAGTGGCTGAATTTGTAAATACCATGCTGAAGAGTAAATAACAACTGAATTTCTCCATTAAAGAGATCTACTTTGCACAGCAACAACATCATTTTGCCCTTAAGGTGTTGGAAGAGATACTATTGATATTTCTTGTCCACTGTCATTACTTCACAATGAGACTCAACCAGGAAAGTGTCACCTTCTTGCAAAGACAGGAAATGTTTGCATTCATGTGGCCAAGCTTGTTTCACTTACAGATGTCTGTATAAAACAATATCACAAGCTTCATTGCCTGTAATTTCAGATTCCAGAGAGTGAGATTTTTTTTTTTCAAGGCCATGAGATATATGGTATTGTTTTCAATTGACAGAGTCAGAGTTAATAATCCAAGAGGCTAAGATAGGAGTTTCTAATTTTTGGTGTCATGAAAGGGCATTGGGCCTGTGATCGTCACTTCTCTCATTACTGTTTGTTCAGGTTTTGTGAATGACTGTTTTATTCGGGATACGTATTTGGCAGTATTGTGACATGTTTACTACTTTGTGATTTCTATGGTATGTCTCCCAGTGAATTGCTTTTCAAAGGCAGTTCTCCCTTAGATTATAAATTCTCAGAGTGGGAATTGTGTCTGTCTAAATCACCAGAGCTTAGCATGAGCTTAGAGTTTAGTCATTAGCAGTAAGAATTTCACCAAGGGTTAGCAGAAAGAGGAGGAGCGGGGATAATGTGCCAATTGTTGGGTTGAACAATGAGCTGAGTTGTCTCAAAGGGGTTCCTGCTTTCTTCTTTCACTTTTAGTCTCTTCCATTTGCTTGTAAACTCAAGGGGGAGTTATGGAACCATCAAACCTTCTTAGCCTAGTAGTTACAAGACAGGTCTGGGAATCTCTCAGCACCAGCAACAGAAAAGAAAAATAGCTTCATTATTGATGCTACCTTAGGATTCACCAGACAGCAGTTGCATAAACATTAGGAAAATTTTGTTTAAATGCTCTGTGTAAAAGAATTTTTTTTAAGTACCTTTTTTTTTTTTTTTGAAGATTTATATAAGTACCATGTACAGTCAGAAGCGCAGGAGGGTGAGAGAATTCACCAGAGCAGGGAACAGAATAGGCAGACTGACAAAATACACTGCTGAGGGGAGCAGCAGGCACAGCAGGAGAGGTCTGTTGCACCATGGTGGCGGGGGGATCAAACCGGCGCTGTAGAGGCTGCGGGCAGCTTCGTAGCCCAGCACTCAACCACTGTGCCACTAGGGGAGGCCTATGTGTAAAAGAATTTTTAAGCCAGTGAAACACTATCAGATTTCATATTGTGTATGATACTGTAATAGTGGATGCATGTCATCATACATTTGTCCAAATCCATGGAATGTAAAATATCAAAAGTGAGTTTAATTTAAAGTAAGAGGTGTTAATGTAGGTTCACCGATAGTAACAAATGTACCATCTATTGATAATGGATATGCAAGTATAAGGACAGAGTTAATATAGGAAACACTTTTAGCTTTTACTCACTTTCTTTTTGTAAACCTAACACTACTGTAGAAAATAAAGTCTATTAATAATTAAAAAAAGACATATGAGTAATTAACTGCTGACATGTTTATAAGTCATTCCTGAAATAGACATTGAGTTGAACTGCCAAAATATATGTGTGTGTGTGTGTGTGTAAGAGAGAGAGAAAGAAAGAGTTTGTGTCTCTGTGTGCTCAGAAATGCACAAAGAATTTTATAAAGGTATTCAAGATATTCTTAAAGTTGATTTAGTCCCTGGATCTTAGTTTATGATTTTATGTAAGAGGACTTATTGTCTATTGTCTACCTTCTTGAATTTTAAATACATTTTGCCAGGGACACATGCTACTTTTCAAATTAAACATGTTACAGTTTTTATTCAGGTGATATTTACATTATGGTACATTTTATCCATGAACATTTCTCAGTCTTTCATGTGAATATTTGATGATATGAAATACTTGAGAATTGTTTTGTCACCTTTAAAAAAGAAAGGCGATGATTTTTACTCACAAGAGTCTGCTGAAATCGCTCAATACTGTCCTTCAAATATTTTGGGTTAAGAAATTGGGTGTCATAAGCAAACTTACTTATTGACACAATAAAATCAGTAAAAGGGACAGAATTAGAACTCACAGCCACTGAATTTACCAACGGGATGTGTACAGCATGATACTCAGTGGTTGTATCAGTTAAAATGGGTGGTTGGGCGGGAGTGTCTAATATGTAAAATTTGAAGAGAAATGTCATCAGAAGAGAGTTTAATACAGGTCACATACCACATTGTTAAAGCCATGAGGTAGAAATTAAATAATCCATCTATGCAACAAACGTTTGCATTGGGGGCTCCCAGATGGAGCAGGGGTTAAAGACACAGCTCTCAAGCTATCGCCAGCCACTGCAGCACAAGTTCAATTCCAGCCAGCCAGGGAGCAACCACATGGGCACAGCAGACCTCTCCTGCCTCGCCCACAGCTCCCCTCAGCAGTACATTTCAGTAGATCTGCCTGTTCTGTGCCTACTTTGTCTCTGGTGAATCCTCTCACCTCCAGCACCTCTGGTCTATACCCCAGTACTTGTATGCATAAATAAATAAATCTTTAAAAAAAGTTTGTATTTTAGCTAGTGACCACATG